TTAAGACCATAGTGAATGGAAGCCAGCCAGTGTAGTGGTTAAGGTGGCTGGATGCCACATTGCCAAATGTGCTGTTCAAGTGCCAGATTCAGTGGCTTGCAAAACACACTAGAGGGGCCAGCAGTTGGTGTAATGGTTATGTCGCTGGACTACCATGTAGTCAACCTTGGTTCAAGTCCTGGACCTGGTAGCTTAAACTTGTGCTGGGTGCATGTGCATGCATGGCCAAGATCCTGAAAGGATAATGGAGGAGAAACGATTGTGGCGTGACCATCACCCGAAGGGGTGATTTCTCACTTTCTGTATCTCTATTTCTTTGTCTTTCTGGCGAGCACATGTGCAATATAGCAAAAACCTCTTCAAAAAAAAAAGAAAGAAAGAAAAACACACTGGACTCAAGGCCAGCAGGTGGTATGGTGGGGTTAAAGGCACTGGATTCCCACATGGCTGAATGCAATTCGGGTCCCAGTCTTGGCAGCTTGCCTTCTCGCTTTCCCTTTCTCTCTCTCTGCTCAAATTAAATAATAATAACAATGGAATTAAATTAATTAATTTAAAAAATTGGGCTTTAATAGACACAAAAATGAAGTTATCTGCTAATGATAAGATATAAGGTAATGTCTTTGACTTGACTAATATGCGCTGTATTCATGCTGGTAAAATTATGTTGTACACTATAAAGATGTACAGTGATTAAATGGGGGACCAGCAGTTAGTGTAATGGCTATGTCGCTGGACTCACATGTAGTTGACCGCAACTCGAGTCTCGGACCCGGTGGCTTAAACTCATGCCAGGCACATGTGTGTGCATGCCCAAGATCCCGAGAGGAGAATGGAGGAGAAGGGATTGCATGGCCATCCTCCCTGAGGGGTGATGGGGTGGTTTCTCGCTTTCTGTCTCTCTGTCTATCTCTGTCTGTCTGGCGAGTGCACGTGCCCTGTAGCAAAAACCTCTCACAAAAAATAAAATAAAATAAAATAAATAAATGTAAATAAAAATTAATTTTTTAAAAAAAGGAAAAGAGGGGCCAGCAGTTAGAATAATGGCTATGTCGCTGGACTCCCACGTAGTTGACCATGGTTCGAGTCCCGGACCTGGTGGCTTAAACTCATGCTAGGCGCGTGTGCGTGCATGCCCAAGATCTCAAGAGCAGAATGGAGGAGAAGGGATTGTGGCGTGGCCATCCCCCCTGGGGGGCGATTTCTCGCTTTCTGTCTCTCTGTCTCTCTCTGTCTTTCTGGCGAGCACACATGCCCTACAGCAAAAACCTCTCAAAAAAAAAAAAAAAAAAGGAAAAGAAAAATCTGCTGGGCACATGTGCGTTGATGCCCCAAATCCTGAGAGAATGAAGGAGAAGACATTGTGGCATGGCCATCCACTCTGGAGGGTGCTTTCTCACTTTCTGTCTCTGTCTGGCAAGCACATGCACCAATAACTTAAAAAGAAAAAATAAAAAACAAAAGCTTAGTGTAAGTTTAGAAACAACTCTAACCTCACCAAGCTCCCAAAAAGTCCACCAAAAGACTCAGTGTATTGAAAGTGGAAAACATTTCTACCACAGTGCCAAGCTTGTTCTGCATGCAAGGTTTTATACTACAGAGAAGCTGCTTAAGTCAACCAAGGTGGGAGAGCCTTCTGTTGCAGCTCCAACCTTATTCCACACCAGAAAATTTACACTGGAAAGGGGCCAGCAGGTGGCGTGGTGGTTAAGGGCGCTGGACTCCTACATGGCTGACCTTGGTACAAATCCTGAACCTGGCAGCTTGCTTTCTCGCTTGCTCGCTCTCTCTTACTCACTCACTCACTCTGCCCCTCTCTGGTCAAAAAATTTAAATAAATGAATAAAGTTAAATAAAAATATAATTCTTTAAAAAAAATTTATACTGGAGAAAGGCCTTATGAATAACTTCAAGAAAACCTCTGCCTTTGTTCAGCACCAGAAAGATCACATGAGAGAAAGTCCTTAGGAGCACAGAATGGAGAAGGGATTGTGGCGTGGTCATCTTCTCTGGGCAGTGATTTTTCACTTTCCCTCTGTCTCTCTCCAGTGAGCTTACATGCCCTATGGCAAAAATCTAATTTTAAAAATCATCTAGGGATATGAATTAGTCAGGACATGTTAAGGGGTGACCAGTGTCTTGGAACTAGGCAGAAAGTGGACAGAATGGGGAGTGAGACATGAAGGACAGAGTAAGAGAACAGGCAGATGTCAGGAGAAGTTGGCAAGGTGGACTGTTCAATGGTCTCAGTAAGACAGAAAAGTTGCAAGGCTCATGACAATGGCACTCTTATATCAGATGTACAGTAGATACCAAGCATGAGAGCAACTCAACAGTGGTCACTCCCATCCCCCAGCTTCAATCTCCATTTCTGGGACTTCTTACATCATCTGTGGTTTCAAGACTACCTGGCCCTGGGATCCAGCAGTTAGCATAATGGCTATGTCGCTGGACTCCCACATAGTCGACCGCGGTTCGCGTTCCGGACCCGGTGGCTTAAAAAACTCACGCCAGGCGCGTGTGCAGGCGTGCCCAAGATCCCAAGAGGAGAATGGAGGAGAAGGGATTGCGGTGTGACCATCCCCCCTGGGGGGTGATTTCTCGCTTTCTGTCTCTATATCTCTCTCTGTCTGGCGAGCACACGCGCCCTATAGCAAAAATCTCTCAAAAAAAAAAAAAAAAAAAAAGACTACCTGACCCAGAGTGGGTACTCCTGATGGCATTCAAGATGAGCGAACTCATGAAGTATAAAAGTAACGTCCCAGGGTTGGGGACCAGCAGTTAGCATAATGGCTATGTTGCTGGACTCCCATGTAGTCGACCGCAGTTCGAGTCCCGGACCTGGCAGCTTAAACTCATGCTGGGTGCGTGTGCGTGCATGCCCAAGATCCTGAGAGGAGAATGAAGGAGAAGGGATTGCGGTGTGGCCATACCCCCTGGGGGGTGATTTCTTGCTT